CAAATTTCAGGCAACCTTTGATATTTTATGTTCACCCCCCTTGTACACTCTCTATGATCGTCTCCTACACCAACTTTTGTTACAAGCACAATTCAAAAAGGATTGGATGATGTGACTCGAGGATGGCATGAGGATAAGCAATCACATTACCATTGCCCTACTGAGTTTTGTTACTTGATTGAATGGAAACTTTTCTATCAATTTTCAATAGCATTCAGATTTGAAGGGAATATCTTAAATGCAACTGGGCGGTTACGTGACCTTCTGAACTCTGGAGCATTATGGGTGAAATTTATATTAAGGGTAAGTCAAGTCCTAAAACAGTGAGTCTTCAAGCCTCCCTTCGTCACGTGCTGAGCAATTAATCAGCTTTTTCAATGAATACCGTATTTCTGGGGATCATCGCCGATGAATTACGATATATGGAGACCAGGCTTAGGAAGCGAGTGGGTTAAAAACAGGTACATGTCCTTTTTCTGTGCTTAGCACAGAGAAGCTTAGTAATTCTAACCTAAGATATCTACCTCAATTTACAGCTACATTTTTATTGGTAATTTCTCAAAAGTAAAAAAATCGACACCATTTTCTTAGGAAGTCTTTTGAGCTCCGCGATTTTCCCCGATTTCAAATTTTACCCTTAAAAAAGTGTTAATATGTGAAACATGCACAAAACGGAACAATAGTTACATTTTTAACCCCAACGGCCTACACACATGAATATGAAACTATAGCATGAAATGTTTTCTACATAGGTCACATTGGCGAAGCCTCCTGCGCATGGAATGTTGCTACAATTCCTACATCAAGGGAACAGGTTATGGACAAGAGGAACATCAAACGATTATAAAGTTGTTGTAGCAACTGCCTCTAGTTACTCCTCCACTGCAGGCACGCCGGAGCCAGTTGCCAATTTGTCTAGAGCCAACCCCTCCCCCCCCCACTCAAAACTTTGCTCCGGCGTCCCTGCACTAAAATGTAACCTTAACACAAAATAGAATTAGTTAGTCATTGTGCGATAAACCTGACATGATTTATAGTCTATCTTTGTTCAGCATTTATTTTATCGTATAAGCAGAGATGACACTGTGACATGAAGCTTAAAGCAAATACAGTCTCTTTGTATGAAGCATTTATCCCATACAAGCAGATATCTTTTCACCGAAATGGGAAAAACTTGGCCTAAAGTTCAAACAGGCTTGCCCAGTAATTGCTATTAGCATCCATCCGTCCACTCGCAAAACTAGTCTACAGCATCCACGACCAAAAAGTTTTATCTATTCTAACAGAACTTTGAGTTGGTCTTAGCAAGCTGAATTTTCACATATTCAAACATACTTTAGCGATTCTCTAAATCCTGTGTGCCCGATAAATGACTGTATTGAGGATGAAATTCTTTTGCTTGTCTGTCATATTTATGATAAAGATAGACGTGATCTTCTCGACAATGTGAAGGCAATATTGCAACCCAATATATTTACTGAAAGTAATTCTTTATCGTTCATAACTGTTTCTCATAACTGTTTAAGACCTCATAACTGTTTCAGTAATTAGTGTTTAGAAATATCCTCTCTAATATTAATTGTCTTATCTTATATTTGTTTTGTTAATGTAAAAAATTTAGTTAAAAATTGTAAGCGTTACTTGTTATGTGTAATCTGCAGTATGTGATTTGTAAAATTTAATGTAATTTTAACTTGAATAAAGTATGTTTTATGTAATGGTCACAGGGTTGTAATGTATTTCCACGCTCCCAGTGGTGTCGACTTGTAGTATGGTGTTTGGAAAATTGTGTGGGAATATAAAAAAGTTGATTTTAAGAAAAAGGAAGTGATTTTGACAAAGTGACAGCCCTGGGTGGGCGTCGTTCGAAAGAAGCAAGCAACCGTGGAGAGAGAGAGAGAGAGAGAGAGAGAGAGAGAGAGAGAGAGAGAGAGAGAGAGAGGAGCGGAGAGCAGTGAGCGGTGAACGAGGAATCAATCAAATACGTCATTCACATCTTATGATCCACATCTGGATATCAATTTCTGCTTACCTTCAAACATTGTCCGACGTTTATCACCTGACGAATGTCAGACGAACAGTACTTAAGTGTGCTATGTTTCCGCTTTTCCATACTATCTTCATATTAGCCGAACCACAAGCTTATTTTAATATTGTTCTATTTCGAAAGTTGTTACCTCCAATTTTGAATTCATTAAATTTCATCTTCAAATTCTTTATGAGAAAATTCTTTTTGGTGCTTTTTTTCAAAATTAATCATACTAGAGTCCTTTGTTGGCAGTCTACGTTATTTAGTGATCCTTTATAATTATTTGCCACTTATATGTAGACTCACCCTTTATGGTTGGTTGGTAATAAGAGATATTTGTAATGCCTCTGGCATGCAAAGGACTTGCATGGAATGTCTCAAATATACCATATTACGCAAGGGACATATCAGTTAAAATCTTTATCTGTTTTTAGCTGTACTTTGGAGTTTGCCTTTGCTATAATCTAATCTTTATTTAACTAAGTTTCAGTAGCTTTGATTTATGGTTGATTGTGGCTGTTTATTGGTAGTGCGGACAAAACGTCTGAAGAACATCTGGTACCGTGACCAGCGATTCCAAACTTGTCAAACAAAGGCGTGTAAGCCTACCACACATAGAACAGAACAAGACAAAGTTGAACAATATGCATTTGTGGCCCCTCGAGACAAAAAGACAAAAGTAAGTCAGTTCATGTGGTATACTCACTCAAAGATAAACTGGCAATTGTTGACAGCACATTGCAAAATTATTGGGAGATGAAAAAATTTTGCCAAAGATGTTCCTAAAAACAAAAACAGTCTTGTGTACAAATACAACCACATTGAAAGTAAATGATCCCAAACAACTGGATTTTATGATATAGATAGATTCAAAGTGACATACCAGATGACTTCAATGTTTTGCGGATCATTTTATCTTTCCAAGAGCAATCCTTTCACTGATTTCTGTGAAAAAAAACCCAGCCAAGAATCTGTGATTTCAAGAGCATTATTTTTGGTGATGCTCTTTTGCTGTTCCTTGTATTAGAGAAAGGGGGACAAAAGATTTTGGAGATTTGACCGAAGAAGGAAAAAAGGATGTCAAGTAATAAGGCAAAGTGTTGCAGAGAGACGTTGAGCCCTGTGAGCCTTTGCATTTCATACTTCTAAATGAATTATAATTTTTTCAAAAAAGTAGTTTCATCAAGGTTAATTCCTTAGATAATTCTTCGTAATGGGAAAGATATTTAAACAAGAACTTTGGAGAAGAAGGTCGATGTAGATAAATCTCTAAATGCCAAGGCTTGACGTAGGGAGCATTTAAAATTTGGGCGAAGTCACGATACTTTAAAGGGCTTAATGATGATGTCGCCTATGTAAGCCCATGTAAGTAAGTAAGGAAAGAAATTCACTAGAGCGTATTTAGCAAATAATTAGAATGGAATCTGAAAATGACATGTCCAGTTTGAACGTTTTCTGCTAGCTGTGCATACCAGTAATCTCAGGGTTTTTTTCAAAACAACTGTTCAAGCTCAATTTATGGAGCAAGTCTACTCCTGGATGCAAGAGAGTCACGATCCCTGTACTGTTTGGGGATGTCCAAAAGACATTTGAAAAAAGGAAATTTTTCTTATTTTATCCTGGGTATCAGAGGCTAGAATATTGGGAGATGGGGAGGGGGGGAGGGGTTAATTTCAAGAACTTTCTTCTTAAATAAGTAACTCCTTTTTATATCAAACCCCCACCAGTAGAAATCTCTTAAATCTTATACTGCCTCAATCTCTAAGCACACAGATCTCTAAGGGGTTTTCAACGTTAAAGCTAATTTAATCACTGATACAACTTTGCAAACCCAATAGTTCACAGTTTTCAACAAAGCGATAAATGTAATGAGAGAGGAGAAATCATAGATTTTATCATTTAACCAAGATGCTAAAATATATAGTAAACTAATGGTTAGGATGCTACAAAAGTCCGCATAAAAGAAATGTCAGATTGAGAACACAATGTAAAAGTAAAGGAGTCATTCCAGTTTGTTACAGGCAGTTATTGGTTCTTCAATGCGGGTTCATAAAAGATCATAAAAGAAGGCTGTCTGAAGCATCATTTTTTAAGAATCCTAATAAAGATGCATTTGAAAATGAGTTCAAACGCATGTTTCACCTTTGATAGCTGGTTGACTTTAAGGGTGTGCGTAAAGAGTAGTGTACTTCTGGTATAGAATAAACAATGTGTTTTTAAGCTATATGAATTTTTCTGATCAACAAAAATAAAACTAAGTTTTATTTGAGCATTCACATGCTCTGGACCATGAAGTTAATATGTTTCACAGTGATGAAAACAATTTCAAAGAACAGCCACAGTTATTTGCTTCCTGGTTCACAACTAGAATATCTGCCTTCCTTTCTATTTCCTCTTACAAATTTCCTAGAAGTTTCGACCTTCCCAAGTTCAAATAACGTAAAGTTGATACTTGAATTCGGAGTCAATGCAAGATTTCCACTAAGAAGTTCTCAAAGTTTTGCACTTTAACCAAAACAGTCAATCCTGTTGAAAATTTGCATAGTAAGGCGTAGACGACTTTCGTCAGCATGACATTCCGTTAGTTAGTTGATAAACAAATCGTCCAAAGCAGAATTGATTTTGCGTTCATCCGCATACATGCATGACATCCTTTTTGGTTTGCCTGCTTAAAAGCACAGATGTTGCATCGCAACATGGACACTTTAATTCCTGCACGATCATCAGGTATTTTCATCGGCATTGCAAAACTTTACCGGATATCATATTGTTCTATCACTCAATAAATTCAATTCATATTTCGTGACTTAACAATCAGGAATTTACTATAGATTTTATACCGCGTGGGGTATAGTGGAAAGAAATAATGACGTCAATAAAATGATGTCATAACTTCATGAATGCATTCAGATAGTGATTATTGCTTTGTTCTGCGAGATACCCGCGCATAAACATTAAAAAAATCACGTGACACATAAATGCATACAAGACTCGGATATTGATGTGAGAGGAATGTAGCTGTAGTAGTAGAAAAGAATCTTTGATTAAGATGGGATCCGGTTACCAACAAACAAATCCATACCAAGAAAAGCATAACCTGTAAGTTTTTATTTTTATTCATAGCTTGGTATCAGAAATGAACGACAAGGAGAAGTTTATTGCTGAGTGGAAGGTGAAGTTCCCCCAGGAAGAGCCTCCAGATGCCTCCCTTATTAGCTCTGTTAACTTTATGAACATTCGCAGCAAAATATCAGACAGCGAATCACGAATCAAAGACCTTAAACTTGCTTTGAAGAAGGAACAATTTCTTTTAAATTGGCTGATTGAACTGGAGATCGAAATTTCTGTATTAGGCAATGTTGGTTTTGTCAGCGACAACTCAGTTACCCTATCAGATACAACGCCTATCTGGAACGAGGGTGTTACATCGCCTGACGATCAGAAAAGTTTTGTGGAAGAAACACGTAATATCAACCCAGTTGATCCCGTTGAAGAGGTTCTTGCAACGCACAATGAGCCAGAGATTGCCGATACACACGAGAAAGATGAACAACAACCGGCGATTGCAGAAAATGGGCCACAAGAGGAGAAAGAAATTAGGCCTGTTAGTCCTAAGGAAACTGTCACAGTCAATGAAGACAGCGAAAAGTTAAATGAACATCTCGATGCTGATGACTGTTCAAATGCGAATGAAGGTTCGTTTCATGAAAACAGACAATTAAACATCCCTTTGAAAGCTCAAGATCTCAATTCGTATTCAGAAGAAGCTGATGACCATGAATATGTCAATGTTTTCGATTTGTTAGGAGAGCATACAACAGAAGTCGAATCGCCCACACGTAAAGGTAAGGATAAAGATAAGAGGCGTGCTGGTGGAAGCTGGAGTTTGTACATGGATGAAAAAGAATCAACAAAAAGAAATGATGTGGAAGTAAAGGAAGAAACTATTTATGATGAAATAAAACCAGTCATTGATGATGAGAATAAAACTAACAGTGAAGATTTACCAAGTATTAAAAGAAGTGGAGACTCGAGATCTGCAAATGTCTATGAAGAAATTGAATTGCCAATTGAAGACTCTGTTGATAATTTTGAAAAGAAAAGTTCTGCTAATGATGATAATGTGACAATCAACCTGCTATACGAGGCACCAACAATTTCTTTAGCCAAGAATCAGCCTGCAAATGTTGAGTTAGATGAAAAAGAGGATGATGAAGCCATTTATGTCAATGTTAGAGACTTCAGTATTTCTGGGAGGATTGCCCCTGTTGCTAGAATTGAAGCAAGTGACACTTCTGATTATGATTCAGATTCTGGCAGACAGGAGAAAGATGACAGAACACATAACTACAGGCATATGACTGTTGACGAAATAAACAGCCTAAGGAAGTGGAGAAGTGATGAAGATTTAAGCCAATTCTCTCAAGATTTTGGTAAGCATTTCCAATCTAATGAAATATTGGTTCATGCAGCTTTTCTATGAGGTAATGTGTCTGATACCGCTTTACTTAAAAATGGAGACTGTTTTGTTTGCATTGTGTATCAGATGTGGATATAGCACGGACAAGGCTCCTGGGTATTTGTTTAAACAACATTAATCAGTAAATTGTATGAAGGAATTATTCTGTTGTAATTTTATAGTCAATAAAAACATGCCAACACCCTATTCACAATACAAATCAGGATAAGGTTCAAGTAGCTTTTTGAATTAACTTTTTTAAGGATTTTCATATTGCTTTTGTGCTATGATTCTAGGCATATAGTAATTCCTTCTTTAATGATGTTGTTTTTGTGAACTACCATTCATTGTAATATTGAATCAACAGGGAGCATTCTTTGCTGATACCAAATAGAAGCCATGGTATCATGAGCTACCTTAGATCCAATCCATTGCTATGTAAAGAATCTTGTCAGCTTCTTACTGGTGTTAATTAATACATTGAGAAAAGTAGCAGGTCTTAGAGAATTCCTTGACAGGTTGCTTTAAACAGAGCTAATTGCTCATTTTAAGCCAGGTGGTAAATGCAAGGCAAATTTATATAACAGCACATTAAATGCTAAATAGACATATGAGCTTGTTGCTTTAAAGAGAAACTAGTATCATTGCCTATTAATTCTGTAATTTGGAAATTCTAGCATATAGTCAAATAAAAGGAAAACAGATAAACATTTTATTATTCTAGAGATAATTTTGAATCTGGTAAGAATATTTTGGGAAAAGAGCCACAGTAGAAAGAAAATAAGATCTCTTGGGAAGTTGTTTATGCTATCTCTGCAAATTTTGCTGTTCTTGATTTTTTCATGTTTGATGTATTTGAGTTCTGTTTTACAAGTTTTATCTTTTAAGTCAGTCTTTATGGTGTCAGACACAAATTAAATTGTTTATTATTATTTATTAAGTGTTTGCTCTGATTATGAAAGTGAAGGAAATTTTATGTGTGTGTTGAACTTTCATTTTCTGTATAGAAGACAAATATAGTTGAGCTAAAGTGAATGGTTCTTTTAGGCCAGTCAGTACTAAAAATAATTGCCAACAGGAATGTTCTAAGTAAAATGGCATTTGCTAATGCACATTTTCTTTTGGTTCTGATGCTAGCTGCCTATTTACACCCTTGTCTCTGTATTTTGTTCTTTCTAAATGTTTATACTGATTTTCCAGATGATAGGTCATGTGATTCAGATGATAGTCTAGGAACCGGAAGCCGTGGTCGGAGTAGCAGCCAGAGAAGTCAAGGCAACAAACTTCAGAATGATGAAGAAAGTGTAGAAGGAAACTTTGAAGCTGATAGGAACAAAGGCCCAAATGACGATGATGCTCAAGATGATGTAATTATTGTCTGATTTCTATTTCCTAGTTTGAGAGCATTTGTGGAACATAAAGATAAGCTGTTTTGACTTTCGAATATATGTTTTATTATATCTATATTTAATGTTGTCTTTGTCTTTCTACAATAGTTTCCTACATATCACTTTCTGTTTTAAAACGAAAATGAACTACTTCAAAATTTTACATTAAGTCTCATAAGAATAATTTTTTCATCAATTTACCAAAAAATGGTTTAGTATGTGTTATTTAGTATTTAAATTGTTTTTCTATTTTATGCATTAAAATTGCTGTCTCTTCAAATGGAGTTGAGTTGCTTCTGTTTGTTTCCTTCCAAAATTGTTTTACTGATCATTTTGTAATCAATATAGGCAAGGTCAGAGTCGCCTGTTGACCAGGAAGAGGGGGAAGGAAGATCAAAGAGTCTAAAGATGAGGACATATCTTGTCAAGAATTTATTGGAAAGTGAAAATTGCTATTTTGACTGTATTGACATGATAAAAAAGGTTTGTAAGAAAGCTATATATCATGTTTGGTTTTCACAATCAACTTTATTTCAGTTTTTCAGGAGGATAAGCCTTAAAGCTTGATTTATAATTGCCCAACTTTTAGAATAAAACTATAAATACACAAATAATTACCTTAAATCAGAATAAGTAGATATGAAAAAAAATTGCATTCACAACCCAAAGGCATGCAATAAAATGATACTTGCTATGTTATATTATTTGTGCAGGTATGTAAAACTGCTTTGATGTTCTTGATACCTAACATAAATATTGGCATTGTAGAGACAGCAATGATAATGCTATTTTCAATTTTGCCGCTTTATAATACTATAGCCATTTTAAAGCAAGTTTTGATCAGTTAATTTATATATTTGCTTGCCTGTTTTATTTCCTAATGCTTTTGACCCTCTGCTATCAAATAATTGTGTACATAGATGGTGTTCTTGAGATTTTGAACCTCCAAAATATGCAATTTTTCAATATTTTTTCTTCTCTGTTTTTAAGCTATTGGCCACCAGGCAGTCTTTTGCTTCCTGTGCTATTGTTTTAAGTTTATGCAGATAGTTATACAACTCTGTGAATTTTTACTGGAATATAAGGAATATAATGTAAACATTGGGCTCTCAAATTTAACTGTAAAGACTTTTCAATTTCATGTGAAATTGCATTTTTTAATAAGCATAAAAAACAAAATGAAAATTACTTAAATATACTTAAGAATTTATTTAAAGAAAATCTGTGGTTAAACTGAGGTAGTATAATTTTGAGAAAAACAGAATTAATAAGCTATGTGAATCATGGCATAAAGAGTTTTAATTTGAAGTAGATAAAAAAGTTGATGCTTTTATATACTAATGTGCTCTTTGAATTACAACTATGCCAAAAAATTAAAACCAAGAAGCTTTGTCAACTGTCTTTTTACTTCAAATATTTTAATTCATTGTTTCTCGCTCCTTCTCTATATGCCAAGAATTTCTGATCCATTTCCACTTGCCAACATTTCTTTCATTATACTAAATATTCCTTGAGTAACAGTAACTGCATATGTTTCTGTCACACATTCATATGGATATTGAGTTCTTCAAAGGGCAACCTAGATTCAACCAATTTTTGCTATTACACTACTTTTAATTTTTTGTAGTGTACATTTTGCTAGGCTTAACCTGGGCTAATTGAACCAGGCAGGGTCTAGGTTTATATTTTGGAATGTAGACAGGACTTATGTTATGCAGGTTAAAAGTAAGATAGATAGATGAGCATATTAGTTGAAATTAGATTTAAAGTTATTTTTGTGTCATCTTTAATCTGGTGATTTCATGATAGGATCTTTAATCTTTCTAGTACATGAAGCCACTTCAAAAGTCAACAGAAACATCGCAACCAATTTTAACAATGCTTGATTTTAACAAGATATTTTTGGGAATTGAGGACCTACATAGTGTGCACTTGGACTTGCTGCAGCAGCTAGAACAAAAAATAGACAACTGGGGCCCAAATCAGACCATTGGGGATTTGCTCACTATACTGGTAAGCATTTTTTATATCAAGACTCCTTAGTTTCTATTTATTGAACACTCTGGTTCTTTGTCTGAATATCTTGTTTTGTTATTAAACCTAATCAAAGTGAAATATTTTCTGTTACCTAGAAGTGACATAACAGTGACGGGTAAAAAAGGATAGGAAAGCAATAAATATATATACTTATGCTTATTTACGGAGTAATGTTTTTTTATTGGGGATTTTTGTACTGTTTCTTTTGGAAAATAGTTTCATATAGCCGTATTTCATATATTAAGTTACATTTTTCTCATTTTTCATTAAGTTACAAGTTTTTAGAGCTAACTCAGGATATCTGACTGTAAAAGTGATTAGCTGTGGAAAATGGAAAATACGGGGACAGAACGAATCTTTCAAAAAAATTAATTCACTTTTGGAAATTTTGCTTAGCAATCAGTTTGAGGTTTTGAAAACTTTGCTTGCCTATCCTCTGGTCAGTAAAGATGCGAAATACTTGCATCTTTGCTGACCTTTGAGAAATATCTTCTTCAATTTCGCTGTTTTCTTCTTGATTGCTTTGGCTAAAGTTTAAAATCATTTTTTTACCACAAAACTATGACATTTTCTGCTACCCAAGGAGCCCACATTATTCTATGCCTCATATGACCCCAATGACCGTAAGGAATGTTGTCTCAGACATATCTTTATTAGCCAAGGTAACCGCTGGGCATAGCTGATATCCAAGGTGATACAAGACATAGATGCTTTGGCTGACAAAATACATATCATGTTTTTTGCCAAAATGAATTCAGCTGGAGTGTTATCGTCTGTCGTGATTCAACTGGGCTGCTGGGTACTAGCTTATGAATTAATATCATATTGATGACGCATAATTGTTCACATATTGATTTCACTGTATAACTTGTAGATGGATGGCTTCAGTGTGTACAAAGCTTACATAAATAACTACAAGTCGTCGCAAGAAACATTGCTGAAGTGTCGAAACGCCAATTCAGTCTTTGATGGCATCGTGCAGAAGGTAAGACGCTGTTCGTTTGTTATCATTTTATCGTAAATCCTGCAGAAATATTGTACTTAGGGCATGTCTTTGGAAACATGGCTACAACATCAGCGACTTCGTGACAAACAGTATTTCAAAGAAATAGTATTGGAAGTGGCTGTCGTCGTTCTAACTAGCTATTTCATAATTAACAGAAGTGTAAATCATCTTTGAGGAAGGAACTGCTTTGAACTGAAAGTTTGAATGGCGTTTTGTTGTTGTGAAATATGAAAGTGTAGTAACCACAAATTCCGAGGCCGTTTTGCCATTGATCTATTTTCTAATGTGATTTTAACAATTAGTCTTGGGCAATTTACTTTTCAGAGCAGATACTGTCTTCAGAGAACTTTTTCTGGGTTAGGGTAGGAAATTCGATGGTTGTTATGTAACTGTGCTGGCAACTTTCATCCAGTCCTGCACATTCATCAGATCACATTCATCTTCCTTGGCTGTCATTAAAGCTAGAAAGTCGTTAATAATGTGCAATCAAATGCATAAGTTTCGTGAAAACCAATTTAAATTATTATTGGAAGTGCTTTTTATAAATTGGAAGTGCTACTTCAAGATCCAATTCTGACATTTACCCAACGCTCGCTCGTTGATCCAAAACATGGTTTTAACTGAATTATTTCAAAAGAAATTGTTTTGTAATATGGAAGTTAGACAAAAGATATTTAGGAACAAAGCAATACGACAACGAGAATCCAATGTCACGAGATAAAATTTTCAAAATGAACTAAATTTAAGGAATATACTAATATTTCGCCCCGGCATACAGGGCTTCATCAGAGTGATCAAGTTAGACAAAGCCTGTATTAGGAGGCAAGGAACGTTTGGCTGTGTGTGTTTGAAACTTAAGAGGGCCTGTATTGAGTTTCCATAACTGTGAATTGCTTATTGTGGTCCTTTCAAAAAGGAATTTCATAAAACCAAGTTTTTACTTAAAGGTTGTAAGACTTTAACCAAGGCTTGACTGAAGATTTAGAGGGTCACGTCTTTGGTTTAAAACAGTGTGTGTCTTTTCTATTTAAAATTTCGTGACGAATTCACACTTGTTGCACTCTCGCTTTGCTGTTTGGAAACTTAATATCTCTGAAATTGAGATATTAGGGTCTACATGTGTCTTCTAATACATAATCACCGAAGAAGTATGTCTTTCTTCTTATTTTCGTGTTTACTCTGTTTGTGCCATGTCAAAGTGATGTGAAGGTTTCAGCCGACCGAAAGGTTTTAAGCCAAGGGCTTAGAGGCCGTGTTTACAGAAAAGGTCTATTGTTATGATGTATAGAGTTGACCGTTAAATTCGTTACGTCAGGACGATAACAAACCCTAACGGTTGTGCTTTTGTTGCCTATTAGGATGTTTCATCCGTTAGAATCTATAAAGGGATATTTTGTTGTTACACAGCACTGAATGCTCAGTTCCTCTCAATACCAATCTTTCCACGGATAAGCGTACTTGCCGAAAAGAATTTTGAACCGCTTAATTGGCTAAACAGTTAGAGCCTATAGTTAAAGCCTGAAGCTTATTGTTACACAGGGCTTAAGATGCTAGGCTATTACGTCATTTTCTTTGATTGTCACCTCGTATAAATCCAGATTTTTCAGTCTCACTCATCAGTTATGTCTAAAGTTGATATTACAGATAAATAACTAGTAGCTCTAATGGTCGATATTTCAAAATTCGGCTTTGTTTCATAGTTTTAAAATCAGTAACTAAACTATGGAGCAGCTTCATTAATCGTCAAAATTTTTTGCAGGAGATAAAAATCCAGTCTCTGAAAGACCCAATAAAACTTGATGGTGAGTGTAATATTTACTTTTTTCTTTACATTGCTTTTGTCTTCTTGGTTTAACTGTTTTCATATTATAAGCAACCTATTAGCTTTGTATTAGTCAAAAAATAACTCTTCTTAAAACTTTATTTCCTGTCCAAAACCAGCTTATTCCAAACAAAATTAATCTTTTCCCCCAGCTTCGTCATCTTTCTCATGTTTCATTGAAAATTTTGATTTTTGGTTCCAGTGGAAAATGCTTAATCCCTCTAAAAAGGAAATATTTGTAGGCTATTTTTATCGTTTATTAGAGACTGAAATACAGTAAGTTGAATCTGGGCTTCAAACAGTTTGGTGTAACTGTGTTTTTCATTTGTTTATTTTGTAGCGTTGTTGTACAAACCAGTAGATCGAATGACGCAGTACTCATTGATCCTCAACGTGAGTAATTTTCATAGTGCTTCATTTTGAATGTGAATTAAGTCTGTCAAAATCATTGGCATCTGTTATTTAAGTTCCTGGGTACTTTCCAACGATATTGTGGTACATAGTTTGGTCATCCATTATATTTTATAAACAAGAGTCCTTGAAAAACTGTTAAATTGCTTGATCCTTTAAACTGTTTATTTTTTCGTAGCCAGAGAAGGAGAATAAATATTATTCATGTTTTTTGCCTTTCTATGTTTCTTTTCTTCTCCTACATTTTACTTCCCTTCCCCTATTTTCTCGATATTTTCATGGTTATAAAACCTTCTTAACAACTTTCCCCATTTATTTGCCAATATGTTTGTGGTTCAAGGTCTTGTGCTGGTATTAGGATAACTAAATCTACTTGTGCTGGTTTTAGTAATAGCTATTTGACGCACATAGAAATTTGTTTAAACGCACATAGAAAGTTATGTGACTTTCTTTGCAGGACCTGCTGAAGTATACTCCAGAAGACCACCCGGATCATGCTCTTGTGTCTGAGGCCACTGCAAATTTGTTTGATCTTTTTGAGCAGGTTAATGTCAACAGAAACGACAAGGTATTTGTCTTAAGATCATTACGTAGTATTAGAGAAGGCTGCGAGATTGCCGCGAGATTTTTGCGAGATTGCTTCGAGATGTCCGCGAGACTGCTTCTAGATTGCCGCAAGATGATTGCTGATACTGGATCTTCTGGAGCAGCTTTCAAACACTATCGCACTTAGTCGGAAGAAGTCATGATAAAACCGGAGTTGGATTTAACCGCCTTTTTTCCAGGCATCGATTTGGATTCATGTCTTGGTCCACTACTTTCTCTGAGTGATTCTCCAGAAATGCATTGTGAAAATCTATGCTGATGACACAAGAATTTCATATTCTAGGCAAAATATATTTTATCTGAATATTGCACATAAGTGAATACAGAAAATTGAATGCCATTAGGACACATAGGTCCCTATGATTTGGTATTGATGGCGCAAAAAATAGAATCGTTAAAAGTGTGAAATAGTCAGGAGTCAAACGTGATCACAACCTCGCTTGGGATCTGCATACGAAATTGTTTTGTGGTATTGTGAGGCTGCAAACCTTGATTGCAAACTTTGCAAAACCTGCAAAACAGCGCTGCTAGAATTGTTACTAACATCGACTATGATGCATTCGTAGAAAACCTTCTCAATCTAAATTGACCTACAGTTTATGATATGATGAACAGTTAGACAGTGACAATTACACACAAAGGTCCCAAACGTATTCAAGAAAAATTTTGACAGTGATTTAAATACGACATAGCGCAATTCCATTCCCGATGTCCTTTCTCTAAGGATATTTTTGCAGGGTGCAAAGACTTTGAATAGATTGCTGTTGAATGACAAACTAGCTCTCTCACTTAACTTTTTTATGTAGGCTAACTCAATTTGCCTTTCTCCGTTTAGTCCTATTAACTTTTGTATATTGATGTTTTTATGCTCTTAACAAAATCTTAGTTTTCAAGCAAGTCCTTTTGGTATACTTTAATTGTAAAGTTTGAGACAGCTCCATGTAAAACATGCTGATGGGATTACCATGTATATATAGTGAAAACAGGAAATAAACTTTAGATATACCTGGCTAATGGTACATATTCGTATTTAAAAATATATCTAAGAGAGTTTTTATGTCGAAGAATTAATGTTTCTTTCGATGTTGAAAACATGATTTCTGTTTCAGAAAGCACCTCAGAGACAGCTATTGAAAGAAGGCAATGTTGTAGAGCTAGATGGTATGTCGTTTTGGTATTCACTGCACACAAACAAACGTTTCCCATTGCCTACTGGGCAATCACATTTAGATGCTGACCAGCATACTATTTCACCACTTTTGGTCGATTAATTTCTGCTTGTCTTAATTATGGGTAAGAAATCTGGAAAAAGCTGCCAAAGAGAGACGTTTTTCTACACCCCAAGTGACATGAATTTCCTTATGAAAATATCATTGTCAGGCTAATTGTCAAAATGTGAAAACCAAGAGTAGCTATTGTGAGATTTCGAATTACCATTAACGATCAAATAAGTGTTCCCAATCGAAAAGGCGTCATGGTGGAACAAGAAAATAGCGCTTATTCAAACAAATATCCAAATCTTTTGCAAAACAGAGGTGCACATTCTAAACAGAATCTTATTTTTTCATTATCTATGCTCATATTCACTCGCAATAATGACAAAATGTTTATTAGCACCCTCAATTTTTGTATTAATATGCAACAATAATCAATTTTAATAAGCGTCTCAGAGTCGAGAACGAATTTTTAAACAAGATTCTAGGCGCTTATTAGGTAATTTACGGTATGTCAGTTTCTCAAACTGTTTTCCAGATGGACAACGGAAGGCAAGAACATTGTTTCTGATGAGTGACGTCATAATTTGCGCCAAGCTTAAACCGTCCAAGTAAGATATAGTTTAAATGCACACCTTAACAGCTAGAAAGTATTATTCAGAAATTAACTGAAATGCCAGGAGTATTGAATTTTCAATCTCTATTTTTATTTGAAGTTTAAATATATTAGCCAGCCATATTCAATGTCTCTGTATGGGTTATTTACCTATTGAAAAGCATTGCAATCGGAAGATGCCACCATACGCAATATTTGATACACCTGTTTTTTAATGTCAGTTGTCACATAGATATGTCCAGTCTTTGAACACTTTACGTAAGCATAGTTATACAGCATTTAGAATAGAGAAAATAGAGTACCTGGTGCATATGGAGCATTAGCAATAGGCTTTTGTATAACTCATCCAATGTGAATTTAGCTGATTACGAAATTTGATCCAAACATGGCTCCTTTAATGTACTTACCCGTATTGTAATAAACTGTAATTTTTCACTCACAGGGATGCATACGTGTGCAAATGGTACATCTCGTTATCAGACATACAGCTAAAGCCATTCAAAGAGTCAGAAGGTTATTATCGAGGGTTTTTTAATTGAATGTTTAACTAAAATATGATTAAATGGCAAGCAAAAATTTTACAACATACTTAAGCCTTTCATCTGACACTTTTTAGATAATATTACGTCATAATTATGATCAAAATATTATGAGCTAAGAAGTATATATTTATATATATATATATAGAAATTTGTCTGTTGATATTTCCGTAGCACAGTGCTCACTACATTTGCACGTAGAGCGTAATATTGCATAGATTTGTTTCGTGACAGCCTGTTTCGTGAATAACTCACTCTTTAGGAGATGTTATATATATATATATATATTCAATAGCTCCTAACTTTAAAGTTTTTTAAAATATTAAATAGATGCTCAATAAAAAAAACTTGTTTGACGTTTCGCTGCAAGCTTCTTCAGAATAATTAACATATATTTATATATACCAAGTTGTGGATCAGAATAAGCCAATCGCGAATACATAAGTTTGTCCAATTAGTGGAGTCCAAGGGTGTTAGCGAACTCATTCTGTCTGCATTACAGCGGATTTTTTTCGTTTTTATCTACATTGGTTTAAATGTGATTATGCTGTAATTTTTGTTCTCCGTTTAGGCTCGCAAACTGTGCCTGTGACGACAAAAGCCGATTGTGACCGATTACGGGCGACTATTGCAAATATTAGGTCGGAAATGAGAAGAGATGTTATGGTGTCCACTCCACAGTCAAGCTTCGAAGGAGGTTCCCCTTTTGCCAGGGTATGAAAAAGTCCCTTCTTAATGCATTGTTTCTTTGCCTATGAATTTCTTTATGACTTATACAAGAAACCATGTTATAGGTAAGAGGTAGTAAGAACTTCAAGATGTATTGTTTTTTATTTTTGGCCCATCCTGTTTCCTTTTTGGATATATTGTAAAAGGTTTTTAAACAAGAGAGCACAACATTTTTTGAAAGAAGCTCTTTGATTATGGTTATTTTCCTATATAAAACATTTCTTTCTACAAACAATGCGCCAAAACTTCCTGATTCTTTCCCTGCCTTTATGTTGCAAAGCAAAAACACATTCACGTTTTTTCATACATTTATCAAACGCTTTTACCAATAAAATTGTTAAATCGTAGCTTTGTATTCCAGCCCAAAATCAGGAAACGTGATAGCACTGCAACAATACCGGGTCCACGTGCATCTACGAGAGCCATCGAGAAACTGAAAAAGAAATTGCAAGAACAGGTAGGCTCTAACTTCTTCTTTGCCTAGATTCCTCGGCCTGTTTTCAACTTCTTCTCGGTTTAGATTTCTGCACCTGTTTCTAGCCTCTTCGGTTCTTAGGTTCCTGCATCTGTTTTAATTCTATCTTAGAACTTGCCTGCTCGTTAGTAGTGCATACCACCTTTCAGTTTTCAGAATTATGCAGAAGGGCTTTATTCCCGATATTGACAATGATGTGATTGTAAGACAACTTTTTGACTTGCCCAAAGTAATCGGAAACCTGCCCATCCTCTTCCCATGGCCGCTGCAACCGTGGCACTAACCACGTCCCTTGTTTCTTCATCCAAATACTCGTCTACACGTCGACAAAATTAGTGCCTAGATCAGTGTAACCCTTCTGTAACCACCTTTCATAATTTTCTCTCCAGGAACGCCTGCTGCAACTGATTGCCCCGAGTATCCCTTTAAACATTTATCATAGATCGGGCAAGGTACGTACTAATTAAAACTACTTCATGTTACTGGTAAAACTTAGTTTCACTTTTCGCCGCTATTTGCAAGGTGGTTTGAGTTTGCAAACTAATCATTGGTTGTTTCATTCTATGAGTAGCATTAATTTCGCAAAAATATGCAAATGTTTGTGGTAGTTAGTTTGTACAGATTAGTACAAATCCAATATAGTGAAAACTTTAAATTCTGAAACCAACATCTGATGGTTGCTATATATCAATCGATTGTTATTTATAATTATCCAGTCAAAGGCATAAGGGCATGGCCGCCCTTCACTTCGAAAGCTTATGCTTTTAAAATTAGGCCAAATCTCTAGTTCTCAAGATTTTTAAAACTGTCAATCATTCGTTGCCTTTGATAAGAAAAAAGCAAGCGGATGTTATTAAATATCTTTATTTTCATCATTTACCAGCCTTGCATAGGCAGTTTAAACCTTTTTCTGATCTTCTGAATTTTTACCCAACAGACGTACACATTGCTGCTTGGAAGTGACAACGATAGAATGTTATGGAAAGAAGCGATTGCTCCAAGAATTAAAAGAAGTTCGTATAAGATCAGTTGTATTCTTTAAGTCAGGGGTTGTCTTATGTTTATGCTGCTTTTTGTCGTAACTCTATTCAAGGGTGTATAAAACTATGAAATATTACGCTTGGAGTTAGAGCTTTTGATAGTATATGTATATATATATATATATCTATTTATATAGGAAATTTCTTAAAGAGAAGTATGAATCAAGTTTAGAAATACCGTCAACTACCGATAAGTCGAACCAAGATAACTCGAACATTCGCTAAGTCGAACTAATATAATACATTCCCCTTGCCCAATACATACTTAAAAATATGCCTCTAATAACACAAACGTTATTAGAACCATTTCATTGGCCCCTTGGAAGTCCGAGTTATCGGGAGTTATAATTCTAATGCAACGCCCCAGAGAAAGGTTCGTGAATTGTTGTTCTAGCTTTTTCATCAGTCATACCAAGAATTGTTTTCATAATTTTTTGTAGTGCTATCTCGTAAGCAAGGGACAATTCATCTTTCCAATGTTGAGATACAACAAGCACTGGAAACGTCTCTTCGAGTAAGTATACTCAAAGGAAATCTTTAGTTCGAATACGTCCACATGTTGTAACCGTTCGTATCTGTGTGGAAGTATTTCTCTATATGAATCATCTCAGCTGTTCGAATATAGAGAAGGCGAAGGTGAGGTATTTGTCGAAGCAGCCTTGCTTCGGAAATCGAATCTTATGGCGTAATTTCTCCTAATTATTGACATTCTGTATCCGACGCGAAGCCAGCATTTTTCGTTGTGAACGAACCATGTTGCGAAACGACTGAGTAATGTGGCGTAACATAGAATACTATCTTTTCAAGGTGCAAAGGCTTGGGATGAGATTTGGAGCAGCAATAACTTCGCCATTTTTTCCGAGCCTCCGGCAGGATTCCGAAGAACCAGGTTAGTCTTTACAGTTGATTTTACGAAACATGAAATTTTTAAGCAGACTTTGTAAAGGCCTTGTGGTCAATAAAAGGCGAATGAACGGAATCGCAGTACCTTTAGCACAAATACTAGAAAATAGTTTTTTACAAATTACTTTCACCTAATTCCTATTTTTCTGCATCAGATTCTAAACAGATAAGTAACAATGTAGCAAATATTGCAATTCTAAATAAACATGAAAATAATAATAGTATCTTAATACCCGTTAAGCCGTTAACGAATTAAATGAGCAAAGGCAGCTTAATATGTAACCAAGATAGGAGGAAGGCCTTTTCTTTCACCAATCACTGCTTGCTAACTACTCAAAAAAAGTGTGCCCTAGAGAGAGAGCGTCATCTTTGTCTCCGGATTCAAGTTTCGACCTTTTCTTCTGATATAAATTGATTCTGATATTTCTAAATGAATTTATGGCCTAAATTGTCCCCTCAATTATTGTTTCAAAATTGGGCTCAATAATAGTGACAGGAGGCTGACACGAAGCCAGTCATATGCGTCCTACTTCTCATCAACTAATAATATCATATAATTATTATGTCCTTGTGTGTTATCATGTTAGCTATAATGATGTCATACCCATCAAACGGCTGAATGTTTTTTTCTTGGAACGAACAACTGTTGAATGAAGAATACTATCAGTTGGTAGGCCTAAAGACGTCTTTGGATCTGTTGCTTTTACTTACTGTTTTTATGCAGATAACGAAGATGGTTTAACTGGATATCTCTATATTCATGTGCAAAATGGGAAAAGCTTTTCGCGGACAGCCGGTAAGACTCCAGTTTGTCACTTTTTTAGAAGGTTAGAATAAATCAAGGTAAAGCAAGTAAGATGTCGTTTTAAACATGGGACTTTTGGAACGACGTGTCTAAATTTGGCAAAATACGCTTGCTGAAAAGGTAAGGGTTATAAAATTGAAGAAGTAGCTGGTCAAATATGTAGCATTTTTCAAAAGAAATTTTAAAAATCAGAATAAGTTTTGTTTTAAACTACCTTGGTTTGTCAAAGTCAATTCGACTTTGAAAATCATAGCACCACGATAGCACTTCTTATAACAGAAATTTTGACCGTTATTTAATGATTTCTTTAATCCAAGAATAAACCATCTACATTATTATGATTTATGACATGCATTTACCTGTTTTAATGCTATATGTTTTAACATTGCTCTCTTCTAGAAAACTATTGCATTCTCGATGTTGACAGTTACGGCCATTTTTTCCGTAAAGGAAAGACCAAAGCAGCAAAGGGGGCTGAACCCCAATGGGACGAGGTATATGACGTAACAAATAAAATATATAAGTTATTGCTTCTCTTTAAAACCAGCGCAATGCAAAAGGAAATTTGCCTTTATTTTGTTGATTTTTTAGGTTTAATAGCGTAAAGCAGTATACAAACAAAAATAGTTAGGAAAATTCGATTAACTGATTAACTGATTAACTTATTTGCTTTAAATGGCAATTGGTAATGCTAGGGTAATGGCTAATGCTAGGGTACTTAGTCCTTAGGGATTTTGCTCAGGGGCCAATTTTATTTCATTGTATTGATAACTGTACAATGCTTTTCAACGTACATTGCAAGCATGATTATGTAAAATCTAACGATTTTCCCCATTTTACCTGCCTGAGATATCTCTCATATTACCCGACATTTATGATTACCTATTTTGGGCCTAATATTAATCAGTCTGGATGGGTTCTTATATATTTGGTATTTTCGATCATTCTTCTGACGTCTTATACTCTGTGTCAGGCGAAAAGCCTAAGCATTTCTTAAAATATTTGATTTTTTCAAAGCAATATTTAAAGGTTGTACCACCATTTTTTTTAAAAGTAGGCATTTAAAGGAAATGAGGTTTTCAGTTTTTGAAGTGGTTTTTATTTGATTTGAAGATTTTAACCGCTGCAAGTACAAAAAGCTGCATGCATTGATTGATAGGGTACTTGGTGCACGATAGTGTAGTTTTGGAAAAAAAACGTTGTTGCATTAAAAAAAATCAATTTGTTGCAGTTAATAAGACCTAAATTTGCAATTTTAAGGCCGACCCTGTTATTATTTGAAGAGGCCCTAATTCCAAGATATCAGTCAAAATGTTCTTAAGGTGCTAGGTTCTTATATGAAGAAAACATATTTTTCTTCTCGTTTTAAAATAACGAGAAGTTGGTTTTAATAGTTAGTCATTCGTTCTAGGATTTTGAATTTGATGTCGAGGCGGCCTCGCTCCTTCGCATAACTTGCTACAATAACAGAGGACGTCTTCTTGGTGATGAAATCAGCGGCAAAGTTGTTATTGATGTAAGCTTGCTTTTGATTTGTCATCTAAATAAGATTTGCGTTCACTAATCTTCTATAGAACCGTAGTGACTATCAAAGGTCTATTATTGAAAGATGTTGAGAATGACGAAGTAAAATTTGCAGTTGTCAGAAATGACCAAGTTCCAGTTGGTTGTGTCATCTTGGGAGGTGGTCATCTTGGGAGGTGGTCATCTTGGGAGGTGGTCATCTTGGGAGGTGGTCATCATGGGAGGTGGTCATCTTGGGAGGTGGTCATCTTTGGAGGTGGTCATCTTGGGAGGTGGTCATCATGGGAGGATGTCATCTTGGGATATGGTCAACTTGGTAGTAGTTTATCAACTTGAGAGATTAAGGAGCGGGGAGAAAGGGATCAGCAAATCGTAATTTTTGGCATAAGTACGTTATTGATGCCCCCTGACCACGGACTTCCTGCAGTCGCTTATTTTCATATACATTGGAGGTTATTATTTGCTGGTCCATGGAAACGTGCTGTCACAATCTACCTCTTCTTTAATCGTGTTGTCTTTTTACTTAACTCAAATGAATGCTATCAATTTTAGTTGGGAAAAGAGAACCTTGCCGATAACAGATGTCATACATTCACTGTAATTCTTGATAAACAAGGAGCAATCACGTTGACGATTTCCTATTCACAATCGCGGCAAGGGATCAAGAGAACGAGAACCAATGCCAGCGAGTCCAAAGTGTTTAAGGTTCCTATTTCGACTGTCACAAGGTGAGTAGCCAGACAGTATGTATCTAAGAATTTGAGCAGCCATTTTAGATTCATGCATTAAAATATGAAGTATTACAACTCTATTATGGGAAAATGGTGTAATCAAGACTAAGGCGAAGGTTGTTTGTTATTGTGGACAATGAAGCATCGTTGTGAGTTTGGAAGCTCAAGCTAAAATCGAAAGGACGTGTTTTATCGTTTCAGAAACATGTCATGTAAAGTTTAAACTGTAATGAACACTTCAATGTCGAGAAATTCTTTCTTTTTTTGCTTGTATCATCAGCGTCTGATTTTCAGTGAAGAAAGTATTTCTTTTCTTTTTACCAGGAGAGAGAAGTTTGACATTCCATTGATTGTGATTTCGTGTATTAAAGAGATAGAAAAGAGAGGTGGGTAGTAACACTGATTGGTTATGTTCTCAGACCCATTAAACAAGCTAGGAAAAAATCACGATAACCCAAAGCCAAATATCTTTTGTTGTGCTTGAAACTACAGACCTTTGATCAATTATTTTACTATTTGCTTAATAGGATTTCGTTATTAAGTCAGTAAATCCAGATAATTTGATGTAAGGACTTTTTTAATCTATTTATCTACATTTGACTGTAATTTTCACAAAGTGGCTTTCATAATGTGTACCTTAAAGACGACTAGATTTAGCTTTCCTTTCTACCGGATCATAATATCTAACTTGTCAAATGCTTAATTTATGACGACTAAGTACTAAAGAGTATTACAACTATTACTGTAATTAACTGACCTGGAGAATTTCTAAACTGCAAGACCATGCTATAAGCAACCTGATCATCTTGCTTTGATAGTTCCTGTACTGGAATTTGCATTTTTTTATTCAAAGTTTGCAACATTTTAGACTAGTATCAAATGTTTGTTGTTTATTTTTTGTAGGCCTAGATGAAATAGGCATCTACCGCTTATCGGGAATTGCCTCCGAAGTCAAATCATTAAAAACTGTTTTCGACGAAAGTAAGTGGGGATTTTTGGATAATTACTGATGTCTTTATTATGTATGAATTCCTGAAGCGCATTTCGATTTCGACTTGGGCGTAGTTTTTAAGAAGGCTCAAAAGTATTTTCACAGGGTTTTAGTGAAAATAAAATTAAATAATAAATTTACAAGATTTACAAGGCTTTCAAATCTTGCTTCCTGTTAGCTATTATAAAGTTATCACGATTATTGCCTTTGTCTTCCATTCAGAGTGCCGGAGCAGTGTTTCAAAAACATTTTACAACAGTTTTGCAACACTGTTGTCAATAGGCAATCGGAAAAAATATGTTATCTTGATGTAACAGGATTTATTTTATTAAATTTCGGTCCCAAAATTGCACAGTTCCGGAAATCTAAATGAAATGTGTCAAATTGTTGGTTCTCAGGTGTCTATCAGAGAGGGGGGTTAAATTCCATTTCGCTACCGTCTTATCACTCTATAATGGCCTCTCTTGAGATTGGGTTTGCAGGGTAAGAATTTTATTAAACTGAAAAACTGTGGAAAATCCTTACTAGCAAGGATTGTTTACAAACAACCATCAAATAGATTGCTTGCATCTTCTAAATTTCGTTTTCATTGCTTGCACCTACAGAAACTGTTGTTTGCCTTCTCAGCCATTTTTTCTTCATCATCTCGTACTGCTTAACATTTCATTTGATAGCCTTAGGCCAAAAAGTACGAAGATGCTTATGAATTGACTACGAATTGGTATTAGACAAGCAGAAGCTCTATTTGAATACAAATTCCTAATCTGCAACAATCAATCGCCAGTTGATTGCATAAATCCAAAAAATAATCAAATGAACAATTTGTTGTTATAGATCCTCAGAGTGCCGCGCTGAATCTAGCAGAAGCCGACATCAATGCCGTTGCTGGGCTGGTGAAACTTTACCTGAGAGAGCTACCAGAGCCGTTGTTTACAAATGCTCTTTACCCGAGATTCGTTAGTGGATTACGTAAGTATTGTAAACCCATTTGAAGTCTTATTCCGGTAGTCGAATGGAGCTCAGTATTGACGTTGTTAGATAAGAAGAGATCAGAACTGTTTTGTCTGGGGTAATTTCATATAATACTGCAGCTTTAGAGCCTCTTGTGGCCTACTTATAATATTATGATTAGTAAATCGAGAGAAATAGGAAGTTCTTACACACTGAATTCACAAGCAAGCATCAATGTAGATTTGAGAATAGCTTTTTGAAAATAACGTAGTTAAAATCTTTTGCCAATTCGTCCAAGCGCAAGTGTAAAGATTTTAATTCGAAATTTTAATCCGAAAGTATGATTGGTCATTCAATTTATTCATTCGCATGGAATTTTATTTATTGTGCTAACTGTTTATACATATCAATGAAAAAAGGTTTTTTAATTTTACTTTAAAATACTTCTTTGTATCTTTCAGAAATATCCGACAAAGAAGAAAAAGAGTTGTACATGATCGATACATTTCAGCAGCTTCCTAAGCCAAACAAACTAACAGCCCTGTACCTCTTTGAACACCTTAGAAGGTACGACATGCTTTGAAACCCTGCCTACTACTTTTTGGTTCCTTTGAAAATTTAATCCAGTTATGTAGCTCGAGGCATTGAGAGAGGAATTTTGGATTTGGGTGTTATAAGGAGCAGTCATTTGCGCTCAAAGAAGCTGAGATGGAACTCATTTCATTGTGTTGTCTTGCAGATGTTTTCCGATTGCGTATCTACGTCTCGTAAATAATCCCTGTTCCATACGCTTTTAATAGCAAGTAACTTTGTGACCCGCTAAAGAGGTTTTTAGAGTATTCAGTCTTATAGTAGCTTGTTGAACTTTGGGTTTCGACTTTGTGCGGACTGTTGTATCCCTTTTTCATGATGTCCATTTTTTCTCAGGGTTTGATTATACTTCTCTCAAATTGCAAGAGAAACTCATTTTCCTTTGTTTTTCTTTTGACAGGGTCAGTCAAAAGGAATCAACTAACAAAATGGGTATCAACAATCTGTCGACCGTATTCGGACCAACCGTGCTGCGCCCTTCAGTCCCGGAGGCAGACAAGAACCACGACAACTTGCGTTCCGGGAGTACCTTTGATATCGGTGCCCTTGACGTCATGTCTCAAGTTAGTGTGTTCAGGTTTTTCCTTGGTCTTAATTCCAATAAAACACGATTGCCAGAGGACGATCTTGAGCTGTGGCAGCGTTTGGATTATCAAAAGGCTGCCGAAATCCAAGAGAAACTCATGGAAAATGCCGTAGAGTACTTGATTTAATACTTTGGTAATATGTCCTTGTATAAAACGTGTTAACCAGCTTAGGACGGCTGATTTAGATCAAAATGAAATTCCTTGAGAAATCACAACGATTTTTGGAAGGTACACGAAACTTCCGTATTCAGCAATGGGGTTCATTTCGAATAACATTCCTTTGAGCATTTGGTGCCTGCTGGTTGTGAAGAGATTGGTATTTGTTGTAAAGACAACTTACAAAAGCATCTGAGATTTGAAATCAGGACGTCGGTGGTCCTTTTCTATAGCTGATTGGCTACGTGAGGCCATATTTCCTCAAGTACTAAGATCTGAATGGGGCACTGGGATTTGCAAGATGCAGCTACGATTGAGTGACGTCACACTTCCATGCATGATATGCAGTTTTCTGCCGGGAATGGTATTCACGCTATGTAAACTCTCTAAAAAATTTTCCTTTAATTCAGATGTGTACCAAATTAAAAAAGTAAAGCAAATCTTAAATGGCAGATCACGACGAGGCCCGCAGATGATATTGTACCTACTTCAATTTCTATCAATGAATTGAAATAGCGAGTTTGATTTGGCAGCATTTTGATTGTAACAACACAACCAGCACATGGACTGCTAATCTGCAGAGATGAAGTTTTCTTGTTATGCATCAAATTGATTTTCCAAACATGTGGCAAGAGCGAGCATAATACATAGCTCCTACTGAACCGGATACACTCCTCTTTATCCACATATTTCATTATCCTTAAACTTTATTATTGTCAATATGGAGCTGGATATGATCGTCAGGGTGCGTTTGCTTGAATATACCAGTAGCAATTTCCCCTGAAATCCCTCTAATTGTAAACCTTGGTTTTTCGTGTTGCCTTACGAGTAGCAAGACCTAATATAGCCGCAGCGATTGGCAATTAAAGACCCTCCTGACAACTTATAGGCTCTATGATTGTTTGAAGTTGTTGATATGTATGGGCGATGCATTTAAATAGTAATTCATTTTCAGATTTTTGTAAATAAATAATAAGTATACAGTTACTTTTCCAACAACGATCCGTATTATCAAGAACATTGTTAATTTTAGCTGGGAGCAGTTGAGAGAGGAGCTACAGCTTTTCGCCCGGATTGAAAATTTCTGACGTATTATTTTCGTTATAAAGTTACTAGTTTGGCGAATTATGTTCAATTATGTTTAATTTTTAACTATTTAGTGAATACGAATCTACTGTTGGTAAATATCAGCAACAACCGCAGGAAACATTTCCATTCATTGAGATTGCAAGTTTTTTGAAAATACCTGTTTCAAGACATTGTCACAAGCATAAAGGTTTTAATGAATTATTATCATAAAGATATTCATAATCCTTAGAGGATCAATAATGAAATTATTTCGCCATCAACTGATCCGAAGTCATTCATCTAACCAATTATGTGTATATTGTTGTGCGCTAATTCTATCATTTCTCTTTTGTGGCACACCATTTTACAAAGATACTATATCCCAAATTAAAGATTATGCTGCTACTGAATTGAAAATTGCTAGAGGTAACCTGGTAAGTTCATCAACGATCAAATTTTATGTGGCAACTACTTTGGTTCCATATTGTCTCATTATGGAAAGTAGCAATGGTTGAACCGTTAATTAATTATTGATGAGATAAGTGACGTTTGTTGGCTGTTCTGCCTTTTGCGTGGGCTCGGATTTCTATTGCTCGTCTCAGCACGGGATGCCTCAGTAATCGGACTTGCCCTGCGGCTAAGCTTTAAAGAGTAACGACCGTATGTAAAGCATATTTTCTTCGTAATACTATAGCAAACTAATATGGATACTATTAGTTCTGAATAAATACTTAATTATTTATTAGATAGAAGGAGACGTATCTCGAAAGATCTCGCCAGTAGATAAATAGAGAGCATTTTCAGGGTCCTGGATTTTTTTAAACCGAATTGTTACTATAGTTGAAATGAACGGAGAAGGCTTTACTTCCAGAAACCCGAAATTTCGGAGAGTTCTGTCATCCAATTGTTTTTGTTGTTGAAGAAATTGACCCAGAAAGGTTTGCCTTTAAAAAAGAGGACAAATTTGAAATCTCCACCAACAGCTGCTAAAATTTTTTGCTATAAGAACAACTGAAACGTGCTCTCTGTTTTGCAGATGGTGTTCTCAGTAAGTTTCAATTTAAGAAATAGTATTTTTCTATCAAACGCATTTCACAATTCATATGATTGTTTCTCTCCCTGTCTCGCTCTCACTACCACTGTGACTTATTTCTGTTACGGAGGCTTCATCATCGCTGAAGCATGCCAAGATCAGGTTTTGGGTTACAACAAAAGCATTTATAATTATGATTCATCTGTTTATTTGGCACTAAGATAATCATGTATCAAAGAAACACGATACAGCCTTCATTTTATCTTCATTTAAAGGCGGAAAACAGTGCGTATTGACAGCCAGGAATAAAGATTTTCTTTTGATGGCTCCAGGAACCACTCTTGATTTCATTGTTTGTTTATTGATTTTATTATAGAGTTGTCAAGTGATGAGCCACAAAAATCCACTTTTAGAATTTTGGAAATTTCCCCCATAACCCGAAAGAGCATCATGAAATACCTCTAAATTTGCAAAATCAGTTAAAGGTACTACGAATTGGCTGAGATATGATTAGATGAGTAGAAGCTCTGCCCCCATTAAACCTCTGTAATTTGGTCTCAGTTCATAACTTTATGAACTGAGCCAAAATAACAGTAATCCGTTAGCAAACTCCAAATCTTCTTTTGGCCATAGTTCACCCGATTTTTAACAAATTTAACTGAATTTGCCTATATAGGATTATTTTATGGTGTTCTTTCTTGTTATGTGGTCAAAATTAGAAAATTCTAAAAATAGTTTTTTTGTGACCTCACACTTGGGAACTCTATTATGTATCGAACTCATTAACAAAAAGGTTATGACTGGAAGTGACTTTGACGCATATAGCTTCAAAGCAAGCATGTAGTGCTGAACAAGAGTAGAAAGATGTGCTACAACACGAGCTGTATAATATGAATTGGTAGTCTAAACCATTCATCCAGTTCATCCAGTAATAGAATTTGAATAACATAAATATATATCTAAATTGAAGTTAAGAAACGTACAAAGTTTTTACATCATCAGTCAGGGTTTTAGCTTAAGTTTTTTACTGATAGCGTTGCATCATAGGGTTTGATGCTGAAGTTGGTCCGAGGGGCAAATCACTCCAAGAAAATCTCGTACACCTTTTGTGAAAATCCTATTGTTTTATCTGAAAATCCCCAGAAATCCTTTTGTTTTAGGGAAAATCGGAGGAGCACAGGGCTCTGATATGCGAAGAGAAACAATGGCAAAATTGACAATAGCAATATACTTTTACTAATCAAAACTTTTATTGCCACTATATCTGTTTCTTAAATCAAATTATGCCACAAAAGAGTGATTGTTTGTGCTAGTTTGTGCTTGTTTGACTCATATGAAATATGCATCATATTCGAAAAATTACCTTTTCTGGGTAAAAAAATCTCTGGCTGTCCCCGAAAGGATCCCCGATAAAATAAAATGTAGCGATTTATTGCCCGCAACTCGCGCGCGATAGCGCGCGAGTGAAGGGCTTACAGTCTGCCCCGCGTATAAGTAGCATATGGAAGCTTCAGTTCATGTTGTCAGCACTTTTTCAGCAGATTTTGTCACTTTTCTGCTGCCATGACAACTGTCAATCAATTTCATTGTCAATCAATCGGCTTTGTCGAGGAGGTCGTTAACCGCCACCTCTTTGTGCGGAAGGGAATTATCTTCGGAGCGTTGCTCTGCCAAGACTCTGTTAAAGGCCTTCGGTTTTTTTGGCACGAAAACGGTGCTGCATCACAGCTCGGTTCTCCGCAATGGATGGAAGTTTTGATTCGAAGTTTTGGGAATCAAAACCAGTCGAATGCCACACTTTTCTCCCAAAAACTCGAGACCGTACGAGCAAAAGTTATGATTGTCGTGATTATCGAAAAATAAATGTCAAACCCTCGAAAAACTTCATGATTTTCAAAAGGGCGTTGGACTTAAATCAAAGGCCAACTGAACACCAAAAATTCTTGATAAAAAGAATAGTTTAGCATCAACTAGAGCAGCTGTTTTTATAAAATTGCGAAAACCCAAGATGGTGTCTTCTTCGAATATCCTGACCTACATTTTCAAAACAATCATTATCAAGGAACTAATTGTTTGCGGGCAGTACTAGCAAGAGCTATTTCTAGTTTTGTCCTTAACATAAACATCAATGCCAACAAGAAAGATTTTAACATTGGCTTATAAAGGTAAGTTCATATTTGTTAATTACGTGGATAAACCAACTTTTAAGGTTTAAAAACTGTAATTGTTCTGCTCCCCCCCTAATTATTATTAGGATTTGAAAGGGACAGTATCAAGCCTTCGTAACTAACGATCGCAGAAAGATTTTTGCTGAGCACAACGGCAGTTTTTTTCGTAAATTCATCAAAGATTCAATTTTTAAAAGAAAATTCGGGTTATCTTTCAGCACATTCTACACTATTATTTTTTTGTGGGTAGTGGTAAAAACGTCCAAAATTGGCCTAAATTTAGCTGCTAGGCACGTTTGTTGTCATATTCTTGAATTCTGATTGGCTAATGGGGTATGGAGAATTTTGTTCGCTCAGCCAATCAAAGATTTGGAACCTATGCTTACATTCATAAGTATTTTGAATCCTTTTGCAGGGATCAAAATAAAGAACATGTTCACCGTATTGATAAAGTGCAACATTTTAGCCGAAAGTTTATAATATTATAGATTCAAGGAACTGAGACAGTCATCATCATAGGGTACTGAACTGGGGAGAATTTAATCTGATGAAGATAGTGCGATTCATTCAAAGTACTTCATTCTCTTTATTCGGTGTGAATACAAATAGAATTATGTATCTGCAGCAGAAACATGCTCGCTCTTTAAAAAACTCTATGAAGAAAAGAGTACGGAAAATGTTTTACACCAAACTGTTGACTCGTACTTCTTTGATTCAGGCGAGTCTTTTTCCACTCCAACACTTTTCTCGTCGATTGAGTTATTGGAAAACTTATTTTTAAGGTAATGGCATAAACAGACGATTTTGCGCATATTTGATCGCGACCCTAGCCCCAATCTCCCAAGTGTGCGCCATAATGTGAAGTTGTGTTAGCACCAAGTATCGTTGTTTAGAAAACTAGTTCAAAACGACGCTAGCCAACAAATAAAAAATGAATACTTAATCAAAGTACCTATTTATTTTCCTATCGTTGCTGATCGTCTGAAGACGGTACGGTTAATCCTCTTCTTCTTCGTGAATAATATTGCCAATGAAGTAGCACTTGCTCATCAATAAACTTTACGCATGCTGGGTACATAAGCTTTTTGCGGAATTCTTCATACTGGAGAAGCTCGAGGAAGAACAAGCACTGTGGGTACCTTAAGGTAAATAAAAATATCTTTTAAAATAAAAATGGATTATTTTCTACTGGATGCACTTCGCAAGAATGTCTTCAAATAATTTACTCATTACGATTTTAATTGAAGATATAAAGATCTTCAGAAATTCGGGTTGTTAAGATTCAAGGTTGAAAGAAATCTTTTCGTTGTATTCAATGGTAAATTCAGGACCATTTCTTGGCACATTTCAAGAAAAGCAGCAATATGGTCGCATGATGCTTTCCACCGCATATTTCGGTTAAAATTCAAGGAAACTTGAAAAACCTTTTTTTATCCCACAACCTTTCATCAAACATTTATCATGCTGGGTTTCAACTTGTAGTATTTGCATAATGATACCCCGGTACGCAATTATGAAAAACAGTTTTCTTGACTGTTGACCGGGCTGAAAGAATCTTAAACGATAATGAAGATTGAATGCTTGATTCACACTAACTCTAAATAGCGAGAATTTGACTAAAAATAAAGCCAGCAGATGTTAGCGGACGACTTTCAGATCCCTGGCAAAACAGGGTGCCTAAACCTCTATAAAAATTAGCTCTGGAATGAATGAAAGTTTGATTAGAATAGTTTTAGGCAACCTGCAGTTGCTGGGTGTGGCTTGCTTGCGAAGGTCTTTTTAAATATGCAAAAAGAGCAATTGACTTTCTTTTACTAACGATTTTGAAAAAGGCAACTTTTTTAATTACAGAAAGATGAAGATCGTACAAAAGCAGGCTAGGGAACAGTCGAAATCGTGATAGTAATTTATGCTTGAAATCATGATTGCAAAAAGGTGAACTACCTTTCAAAAGCAGCTTAGGCATTGCTTATGCAGATGAGAAACTTTTCAATGACATCGGACCCAGAGTTTCATGGCCAGTTGCCATGTGTTTGCAATCTTGGTTCTTACAATGACAACCAGTCCTGGCATTGCAATAATTTTGCCATTTTGTGCAATTTATAAGCAAAATCTACTAAAGGCTATGTTGTTCTGCTAATGAATTTTCAAATTTCAGCTTTCTGGTTCAATCAGAACATAACTGACAGTTAAAATTAAAGCAAACATGTAGGCAAGGGAAAGAGCCAGACTTTGGGGATGACAGGACCTAATTTCTTATACTGGAGATGACAGAGAAGGTTTAGTTGCTAGCTAGTCTTCTTGTTTCAAAAAGTGAAGAGAAAAGGGGGTTGGCCAAACAATGTAGCATTAGCCACCAAGCAAAAACAAAATTCAAAGCAGATAGCTTGCAAGCAGATAGAATTGATAAGTTACTACAATCATTTGGCTTGTGGAACAGTTGCCAGACAGTGGAACGCAAAATCATAATCTAGAGCTGCCCGGTTACAAACCAAAACAAACTGCATGTACAGCTATGCCTAAACCTTTAATACCATCAAGCACTTTTATTTTGAAAAAAGTTTTCCAGGCAAAATTATTCAGAACAACATCTTTATATGTTTGTTTTTTACTTTACTTATTTCTTGACCCTTTCTTTTCATCATTTTGCCATAATTTATACATAATGGCTTTGAAAAAAGCAAACATTTTACAACATACTTAAAGCTTTTTCGTCTGACACTCCTCAGAGCATAAAACGTCAGAATAGGTTCCGAAAAAACACGTTTGAAAAATATATACCCAGTTGTGGATAGAAATAGGCCAATCAGAAAAACGCAAGCACAAGACCGGTATAGTTGACCAATCAGTGCCGCGAGCCTAAAGAAAAATTACCAATGGAGTCCAAGAGAGAAAACGAACTCCTTTTGTCTACACAATGGCGGCTTATTCGTTTTTATGTAGATTGACTCCAAAACTGCTAGATGGAAGGACGACCGGGCTCTGCCAATTATCCGAAACATGTCGTCATTATAGAGTTTTGCACAATCTGGGTTGTCTAAAAGATGTTGACCAATGGCAGAATCACTTGTTTTAACAGTGTTTCTAGACCTACAAGATCGAGGAGGCTGTTCTCTTGAGGGGCAGTTTTGTTTCGTATGTTGGAAGGAACATGCTGTTTTATCCTATCCCCCAATCTTTGGGTTGTGCGCCCTACGTAGCCAGAATCACACTGGCACGTAAATTCATAAATGACGGAACTTTTTTGGTTGGTAGGGACGCAATCCTTTTGAATGGATGGAAGGGCTCTCCTAGTGCTGTAAACAATCCGAGGATTGACAGCAAAGAAACAATTGGTTATGGCTTGCCTAATCTGACTCTCGAATCGCAAGGAAGTGTTACCAATCCATGGTAGTTTCAAATAAACTGGGCACTTTTGCGGACCAAACTTTTGAACAGCCGAAAAACTTGCGATCTTCTCCTTAGTATAAGATAAAATGACGTCTTCAGGATAGCCGTTGTCCAAGAAGATCGTTTTGAGTTTTTCCAGTTCAGTGTGCAGTTTAGATTTCGAGCAGATCATAAGTGCCCTATGTACTAATGTTTTGACAAGGTTGACTTTGCGTTGTTTTGGGCAAAATGAATTCCAGCGTATGTACTGACCGGTAAAAGTAGGCTTGCGATATACACTGGTAAGAAATCCAGTGTTAGACTTTTCGACCAAAACATCTAAAAATGGCAAGGAATCATTTTCTTCCTTTTCAAACGTAAACTGGAGGGCTGGGTGTAGGCTATTAAGGTGTTTTAGAAAAATATCACACTCAGCCTCTGTTTTGAAAATGGTATATGTGTCATCCACATACCGAAAATGGACACCTGGCTTTTGGTCGTAGTCGAACAAACGCTCTTCATGAAAGCCAACAAAGATATTGGCCAAGGCAGGTCCCAGAGGGCTACCCATAGCGACACCATCCTTTTGTTGGTACATTTCATTGTTAAAACTGAATTCAACTGAACGTGTTGCAGTTTCCATCAGTTCAATGAATACTTCCTCTGGGAATGGTGGGCTATTAAGCTCGCTTCGGTACAAAGCGTCGGCACATATTTTGATGGTCTCACTCAAAGGAACATTTGTGAAAAGACTACTAATGTCAAAAGAACACATGAAAGATGTTTCGTTTTCGATGTTCAAGTTTTGCATGAACTCAGCGAACGTAAAAGAATCCTTGATGCAATGTTTTGAATATTTTTGAAGAACAGGGTCCAAAACTTCAGAAAGCCACTTAGCCAGTTCGTGTTGTGCTGAGCCAATCATAGACAAGATAGGTCTAAGTGGGACGTTCGGCTTGTGTATTTTAGGGAGGCCATACATTTGTGGTCGTTGAGAGCCCGTGGGTCTTATCCTATCATAAATTTCTGTAGCCAACATTTTTGAGTTGACCAGTTCCAACAAACGTTTGTGGAGTTTCCGCTCTAGTTTGGCCGTTTTGTCATGTGTTTCGACATCACCCAATTTAGCAAATTTTTCTTTGTCGTGGAGAATAACCTCCATTTTATTGATGTAGTCCTTTTTGTTTAAAATTACCACTCCAGACCCTTTATCAGGTTTTGTAATAAAGATGTCATTGTTAGCCCGTAGAGATTTTAGTGCTTGGAAATGTTCTCTATGCAAAAGAAAATCTGAGTGGTCGATGGGAGAGCCGCTGTAAGCGTACGCCAAATCGCTTAGTCGTGCTCGTAATTTGTTAAACTCCAAAGGGTTAGAAATCTCGTGCTTAGCAAGTTGAGCGTGTAAAATTTCGAATTCAGCAAAGAGTTCCTCTCTGTTGATTGTTAGGGGTGGGATACAAAATTCAAGTCCATTACCTAAGACAAATGTTTCAGTATCAGAGAGAGAATAATCCGAGAAATTGAAAATATGTTTTTTGGTGTCGCTCAACATGCCACCGAAACGTTTCCTTACTAGCAAGCCAATATTCCTATTGTGTTTTTCCGTGGTATGTTTTAGTGTCCGCTGGTCAATTTCAGAAATGTAGCGGCAAAGTCGAAAATTGTCAAGGAATGAAAGAAATGGACGCGTTTTAGACCATTGGCGTGTATACAGGCATTTTAAGTTCAGAACATTGGTTTTTCTTTTCTGAATCTCATCATGGAGAAAAGCGCGCTCAATGGTTGGACTTTGTCTAACACCAGACTTGGAAATACGAGCGGTGATAAATTTTGGCACAACTCGGTTAGTCAAACATAAATTGAGAAATGATAAAGAGAACCTGGCCGTCCTCAGCTTACCTCTTAACTTCACCAGTTGGTTGAGATCCTCAATCTCCTGTTTAGTGTACCTCTGCTTGAAAAATGTGAACAATTTTTTTGCGGTACAGAATTTGAAAATGGCTTTGAAAAAAGCAAACATTTTACAACATACTTAAAGCTTTTTCGTCTGACACTCCTCAGAGCATAAAACGTCAGAATAGGTTCCGAAAAAACACGTTTGAAAAATATATACCCAGTTGTGGATAGAAATAGGCCAATCAGAAAAACGCAAGCACAAGACCGGTATAGTTGACCAATCAGTGCCGCGAGCCTAAAGAAAAATTACCAATGGAGTCCAAGAGAGAAAACGAACTCCTTTTGTCTACACAATGGCGGCTTTTTCGTTTTTATGTAGATTGACTCCAAAACTGCTAGATGGAAGGACGACCGGGCTCTGCCAATTATCCGAAACATGTCGTCATTATAGAGTTTTGCACAATCTGGATTGTCTAAAAGATGTTGACCAATGGCAGAATCATTTGTTTTAACAGTGTTTCTAGACCTACAAGATCGAGGAGGCTGTTCTCTTTGAGGGGCAGTTTTGTTTCGTATGTTGGAAGGAACATGCTGTTTTATCCTATCCCCCAACCTTTGGGTTGTGCGTCCTACGTAGCCAGAATCACACTGGCACGTAAATTCATAAATGACGGAACTTTTTTGTTTGGTAGGAACGCAATCCTTTTGAATGGATGGAAGGGCTCTCCTAGTGCTGTAAACAATCCGAGGATTGACAGCAAAGAAACATTTGGTCATGGCTTGCCTAATCTGACTCTCGAATCGCAAGGAAGTGTTACCAATCCATGGTAGTTTCAAATAAACTGGGCACTTTTGCGGACCAAACTTTTGAACA